AAGAATTAGCCAGGTGCGGCGGCACACTCCTGTAGTCCCAGCTACTTGGGAGGACTGGGGTGGGAGGATTGGTTGAGTTTGGAAGGCCGAGGCTACAGTGAGCCAAGATTGTGCCACTGTACTCTGGCCTGGGCGACAGAGAGAGACCCTGACTCAAAAAAAAACCAAAAAATAGATTTACAATAAACATGGGCAGAAATTTGAAAAGGAATTCCAGATGAACCACATTTTATGTCAAGAAGGTCTTCCTCCACTTACCTGTTTTGTAAATCAAAATATGGTTGGCAATTCAGGGAGCTGTGCTTAAAGACCCAGAGACAGGAAACGTTCCCAGGGGTGCTGACCAGCACTTGCAGTGTGATGGAGGCAGACGCCTCCACTTCCACCGCGGCAGCTTCGTATACTGTCCCTGCGCTCTGCGGTCTCAACGCACACCCGAGGTCTTCTGGGGATTCCATCACCTACGTTGTAGATACAACAAAGTAAATTCATGAAAATTGTAGGTTTAAGGCCTCCGCTTCTTTATATCAGAACTTTATCAAACACAAGCATTCTGACATGCTGCACAGAACACCCACGCAAGCTGGAACCCACTGAGAACATGCTGCAGACGGAAGGTCCTATTAATTATAATTCTCTAAAGAAAAGATAAATAACATTGGGCTGCATTTCTAAAATGTTGTACAGACTGTTATGGTGTGTGTCTCCCTGCCTCTGCAAATTCATATGTTGAAGTCCTAACCCTCAGTATCTCAGAATGTGACTTTATTTGGAGATGGTCTTTACAGCGGTAATCAAGTTAGAATGGGGTTGTGTGAGTAGCCCTAAATCCAGTATGACTGGGTGTCCTTATAAGAAGAGGAGGCAGGGTGTGGTGGCCCACACCTGCAACCCCAGCACTTTGGGAGGCCAAGGCAGGCAGATCACTTGAGGTCAGGAATTGGAGACCAGAGTAGCCAACATGGTGAAACCCCTTGAAGTCCAGGCCAGGTTCTTCACCACCTGGCAGAGCTGAGTCCCACGGTGCCATGAGGCACTGGAATTTAAGAGAATGTGGTATCTAAAACAGTATTTAAAAAAATAGAATTTTGATAATAATAGTGAGATTCAGTCTGTTGATCTTGTAACAGGTATCGCTAACTAATGAGGGCATGAAGTTGCCTAAGAAATCTCTAATACAGTTGTCTGCTTACATAAGTTAAACAGCTGCACGAGCTGTGAAAACACCAGAGAAAGCATGTAAAATGGTCTGTCACACAAAGTCCATCATTCCTTCCCAAATCCTTGTTACAGAAAAAAAAACAAAACAAATCAATAACTCATTCTGTAGAAGCGTGGGGTGGGACATGGCAAATAAAGAAAATGAGCTGGCTTGTGTGGGCCACCTTCCTGAAATATGAGGCCATGATTGTCAAACACATTTGCTCAACTCCAGTGACTTTTGTTCTTCACAGACAAAAAACCCATCATTAAATCATAATGGACACTTTTTGTTTTCGTTGTTTGTTTTTATTATGTTTTCTTTTGTTTAGGCTATGCCACAATGGCACAAAATCTGTTCAGGAGGAATGTGACATTAAATGAAGCTTTGACTTTCTGGAGGAAGGAAGGTATAAATGAACGTGTAACCTATTTGGTAAGGAGAGATAATTTTAGAGTTATGGGGGATTGCCTGCCTATGCTCTCTAATCATGGATAGGGAAAAAATCAGTACATCTCACCCAGCTGCTGTGAATACTTGGTGCCTTAGTACAGTCATTTCTTAAAAGCAAATTTGAAGAACATTGTAATAGTTGGTAATATGGTTTGGATGTGTGTCCATTCCAAAGCTCATCTTGAAATGCAATTCCCAGATGGGCACAGTTGGCTCACGCCTGTAATCCCAGCACCTTGAGAGACCAAGGCGGGCGGATCACCTGTGGTCAGGAGTTTGAGACCAGTCTGGCCAACATGGTGAAACCCCTTCTCTACTAAAAA